CACGAGGATACCTCCATTCCAGAGCGTTCCAGAGCGCTCTCAGAGCGTCCCAGAAGGCCGTGAGAAGGCCGCGGCTCCCGGGAGGCCTTCTCCGGAGCACCGCAGTTGCGGATAAGAGTGAGGGGGCGGCCGCGGGGTGGGTCGCGGGCGGGTCGCGGGCGGGTCGCGGGTGGGTTGCGGATGAGTCGTGGGCGGGTTGTTGGCGAGTCGCGGGTCGCCTGTGGGCCGCGGGCGGGTCGCGGGCGGGTCGCGGGCGGGTCGCGGGCCGGCCACGCACCCAGGGACAGCGAATGATCGTTCGGCCCCTCAGTCTGATCATATTCGTATAGTCGCACCAGGTGAGGAAGTCGTATGTTTCCTTGGGTTGGCCACAGTCTCAGAGGAAACGCAGTTGTAGCCAGCGCAAAGGAAGCCCTGGGAGGTGTGGAAGCTGGGGCTGCGATTATAGCAGACCGAGCGCCCCCACAGCACATTCTAAATATATCTAAACTGGTGCTTCGCGGGAAACTGGCTCTGCGATGTCTCTCGCCTCAATGCCGACTACAAGACGGGGGGAGTGGGAGCCCGAGACCTCCCAGTTTGGCAGCCGTTTCGCATGAGATCTCTCAGCAAACCATGCAGGAATCGAATCGTGTTCTCGCCTCCATGCTGGCTACAATTTGCTTTTCCGACGGCAGCGGTCCCGCAGGTCGTATAGGCCGCACAGGTCCCACAGGTCTCGCACGTCTCACAGGTCTCGCAGGTCCCACAGGTTGCACAGGTTCCACAGGTTCCACAGGTCCCAGAGGTCCCAGAGGTTTCACGGGTCTCACAGGAACAGGTCCCACAGGCCCCACATGCCCCACATGTCCAACGGTTGCACAGGTCCCATTGGTCTCAGGGGTCGTACAGGTCCAACAGGCCACACCGGCCCCACAGGTCTTGTGTTGCTATGAAGGTGTTTTGCTGGGGTAGTCAATTGCGGGTCGAGCTCGAAGTCAGGGAAGCGCGCACAGGTCCCACAGGCCCCACGGGTCCTACAGGTCCCGCCGGTCGAACAGGCCGCAGGTCCGACTGGTCGCACAGGTCCCACATGTCACACGGTTCCCGCAAGTCCCGCAGGTCCCAAAGGACTCACAGGCCCCGCGGGTCCCACAGGTTCCACAGGCCGCACAGATCCCTTCAGGCCCCACAGGTCCCGCGGGCCTCACATATCCCACCGGTCGCACAGGTCCAAGAGGTCCCACAGGTGCCACATGTCCCACAGGTCCCACAGGCTCCACAGGCCACAGGCCACATATCACCCCCAGGTCCCAGAAGTGCCCACGTCCACAGGTCCCAGTTGCCCCCCCCACAGGTCCCGCAGGTCCCGCAGGTCCCACAGGCCACACAGGCCCCACAGGCCCCACAGGTCCCGCAGGTTCCACAGGTCCCACAGGTCCCACAGGTTCCACATGTCCCACGGGTCTCACAGGACCTACCGGCCCTACAGGTCCCACAGGTTCCCGCAGGTCGTACAGGCTGCACATGTCCCACGGTTCCCACAAGCCCTGCAGGCCCCGCAGGCCCCACCGGCCCCACAGGTCCAGCAGGTCAGGTCCCACAAGTCCAGCAGGTTGAACAGGCCGCATGGGTGCCACAGGACCCACAAGTCTCACAACTTCCACAGGTCCCACAGGTCCCACAGGCTCCATAGGCCCCACCGGCCGCACAGTTCTCACGGGTCCCACAGGTCCCACAGGCCCCACAAATGCCACGAGTCCCACAGGTGTCACAGGTCTTATATGTCCCAGCGGTCCCACAGATCCCACAGGTCACGCGGGCCCCACAGGTCTTGCGTAGTAGGGTGTTTTACTGGGGTAATTGTGGGTCGAGCTCGACGTCAGGGAAGCACACGGTTCTCTCGGGCCTCCACCGTGCCCCCCCCCTCCCAACGGCAGGTTCGCGTCCCGCCGCCGGCGTTCGACGTTGAACACCGCCGGCGACCCAGAATCGGTCGATCTTGAATGATTTGACGATTCGGGAACGGCCGATCGGTCAAGGTTGAGCGCTCCCCGTGGTGTCAGAGACCAACGCCGGGGTCGACGCGACGCGAATTTGCCCTTGCTCCTCCCGCTCGTTCCCCCCCCTGCTCCTCCCCTGTGCCGTGAGGGAAACGGGTCCTGGACGTCGGGGATTTTCGCCAGGGCCGCTGCTTCCATCCCTACTGCCACCTTGACTCGAGCGCTTTCAGCCTCAGCCCGCTGGCGCCTCAGCCGCCGCAGCCCCGTCGGAAGCAGCCACGGGCGCCATGTTCCGCTCCGCGTGCCTCCTGGCCGCCGGGTCGCTCGTGCTCTACGGCGCGAGCGGCTTCGTGTCCCCGGCGCAGCCCACGGCCGTCTCGAGCGCGGCCCGCAGCCTGTCCGCGTCGGCGCTGGCCGCCGCCGAGGAGGCCGCCCCGGCCTCCAGCGGCAGCGCCGCGTGGAGCCCGCTGGCCATCGGGGCGGCCCTCGGGCTGATGGCCGCAGTGATGGGCGGCCGGCCGGCGCTTGCCGCGGACCTCGAGAACGGCGAGAGCGTCTTCCTGGGCAACTGCGCGGCGTGCCACGCGGGCGGGAACAACAGCGTGGTGGCGGAGAAGACCCTGAGGAAGGCGGCCATCGAGCAGTACTTGACGGGCGGCTACAACGCGGCCGCCATCAAGACTCAGGTGACGAACGGCAAGGGCTCCATGCCAGCGTTCGGCGACAAGCTGGGCCCCGACGACATCGACGACGTGGCGGCCTATGTCCTCGACCAGTCCACCAAGTGGTGAGCGCCGAAAGCCCACGCCCGGGGCCAGGTGCAGCCAGTGGGCATCGTCCGCCAGATTGCTGGCCCGAGTAGGGAGGGAATGCACTGGCGTCTTCGGGCAGGCGACCTCGGCTTTTTAAATTGTTTAGCAGGACGTCTATTTTTTTCAGCGCGAAATTCTGTACGTATCACCCTCGCGCTCGCGTGTGCTAGGCTGGCGGGCTGACGTGCAGGCGGCCATTGCCTGCGGCCAGCACCTCGTCTGCTGGTGAACGGTCTTTATTCAGGAGAGCTTGAAAGAAGACAGGGCCGCTGCTTCCATCCCGAGCCGCTTTCTGACGATCCCTCAGCGCGTGCAGGTCCCTGGTCTTCCTCCTGCTCGTCGTCGTCGTCGTCGGCCTCCTCCTCCCTCCTCCTCGTCCTCGTGGTCCTCGTCCTCGTCGTCCTCCTCCTCCTCCTCCTCCTCCTCCTCCTCCTCGTGCTTGTCCCGAGGCCTGGTTCCTTCCCGCCAATCCTCTGCCCCATGCTCAACGAAAGTCGAGCCCCAGACCTCTCTTGGGGTGCGCTCTCTGCCTCCAGACTCTCGACGCGGATCCCGCCGTGGTGACGGGGAGCCCCCAGAGGCCGAGCGCGCGCGAATCGGCCGCCCCTTGACCTGGATCCTCGGAGCTCGGTCTTCACAGTGACTTCTGTCCTGGGCCGTTGTCCTCCACAGTGACTTCTGTCCTGGGCTCGGCGCGTGTACAGTGCAAGACGTGCGTGCTGCTGGCGCGGCCCCCTTGTGGGGCCTGGCCTCTGAGGCGCATGGCTGCGGAGGCGGGGGAGCGCCGCTGCAAGCCCGCCCACCCCGCCTGTGCTAAGCCGAGTACATGCTCGGACTGGGCCAGCACGAGGATAACTCCACTCCAGAGCGTTCCAGAGCGCTCTCAGGGCGTCCCAGATCGAAGGCCGTGAGAAGGCCGCGGCTATCGGGAGGTCTCCTCCGGAGCACCCCGCAGTTGCGGATAAGAGTGAGGGGGCGGCCGCGGGGTGGGCCGCGGGCGGGTCGCGGGCGGGTCGCGGGCGGGTCGCGGTTGGGTCGCGGGCGTGTCGCGGTCGGGTCGTGGGTCGCCGGTGGGTTGCGGGTGGGTCGTGGGCGGGTCCATAGCAGGTCGCGGGTCGCCGGTGGGCCGCGGGCGGGTCGCGGGCGGGTCGCGGGCCGGTCGCGTGCCAGGTCGCGAGAGTGACGATGACATCAACGCAACGTAGCTCAACAAGAATCCGCACCGCGGAGCGCCTCCTCAGCCACGCACCCACGGACAGTGAATGGTCGTTCGGCCCCTCACGCTGATCAGATTCGTATTGTCATACCAGGCCACAGTCTCAGAGGAAACGGAGTTGTAGACAGCTCAAGGAGAACCCTGGGAGGGGGGGAAGGTGCGGCTGCGTCTATAGCAGACCGAGCGCCCCAAAAACCCATCCTTGATATATCTAAACTGGTACTTCGCGGGAAACTGGCTCTGCAATTCCTCTCGCCTCAATGCCGGCTACAAGACGGGGGGGAGTGGGAGCCCGAGACCTCCCAGTCCAGCAGCCGTTTCGCATGAGATCTCTCAGCAAATCATGCAGGAATCGTGTTCTCGCCTCAATGTTGGCTACAATTTGCTTTTCCGCAGGTCGTACAGGCCGCACAGGTCCCGCAGGTCTCGTACGTCTCACAGGTCTCGCAGGTCCCACAGGTTGCACAGGTTCCACAGGTTCCACAGGCCCCAGAGGTCCCAGAGGTTTCACGGGTCCCGCAGGTACAGGTCCCACAGGCCTCAAATGCCCCACATGTCCAACGGTTGCGCAGGTCCCACTGGTCTCAGCGGTCCCACAGGTTCGACAGCCCACACGGGTCCCACAGGTCTTGTGTTGCGATTAAGGTGTTTTGCTGGGGTAGTGAATTGCGGGTCGAGCTCGGAGTCAGGGAAGCGCGCCCAAGTCCCACACGCCCAACAGGTCCCATAGGTCCCGCAGGTCGAACAGGCCGCACAGGTCCCGCCAGATCCCAAAGGTAATTCCCACAGGTCCCACAGGTATCACAGGTCCCCCAGGTCTCGCAGTTCTTGCAGGTCCCGCAGGTCCGACAGGTCGCACAGGTCCCACATGTCCCACCAGTCCCGCATGTCCCGCATGTCCCAAAGGACTCATATGTCCCTTCAGGCCCCACAGGTCCCGCGGGCCTCACATATCCCACCAGTCGCACAGGTCCAAGAGGTCCCACAGGTGCCGCATGTCCCACAGGTCTCAGAGGTCATCCGTACTGCCACTTTGACTGGAGCGCTTTCAGCCTCAGCCCGCTTGCGCCTCAGCCGCCGCCGCCCCGTTGGAAGCAGCCACGGGCGCCATGTTCCGCTCCGCGTGCCTCCTGGCCGCCGGGTCGCTCGTGCTCTACGGCGCGAGCGGCTTCGTGTCCCCGGCGCAGCCCACGGCCGTCTCGAGCGTGGCCCGCAGCCTGTCCGCGTCGGCGCTGGCCGCCGCTCAGGAGGCCGCGCCGGCCTCCAGCGGCAGCGCCGCGTGGAGCCCGCTGGCCATCGGGGCGGCCCTCGGGCTGATGGTCGCAGTGATGGGCGGCCGGCCGGCGCTTGCGGCGGACCTCGAGAACGGCGAGAGCGTCTTCCTGGGCAACTGCGCGGCGTGCCACGCGGGCGGGAACAACAGCGTGGTGGCGGAGAAGACCCTGAGGAAGGCGGCCATCGAGCAGTACTTGACGGGCGGCTACAACGCGGCCGCCATCAAGACTCAGGTGACGAACGGCAAGGGCTCCATGCCGGCGTTTGGCGACAAGCTGGGCCCCGACGACATCGACGACGTGGCGGCCTATGTCCTCGACCAGTCCACCAAGTGGTGAGCGCCGAGAGCCCACGCCCGGGGCCAGGTGCAGCCAGTGGGCATCGTCCGCCAGATTGCTGACCCGAATAGGGTGGGAGTGCACTGGCGTCTTCGGGCTGGCGACCTCGGCTTTTTTGATTGTTTAGCAGGGCATTCATTTTTTTCAGCGCGGAATTCTGTACGTATCCCCTTCGCGCTCGCGTGTGCTAGGCTGGCGGGCTGACGTGCAGGCGGCCGTTGCCTGCGGCCAGCATCTCGTCTGCTGGATAACGGTCTTTATTCATTCAGGAGGGCTGGAAAAAAGACAGTGCCGCTGCTTCCATCCCGAGCCGCTTTCTGACGGTCCCGGACCCCTTTTTGGTCGCGGTCTCTGTCTCTAGATTCTCGACGCGGATCCGGCCGCGGTGACGGACCCCCCAGAGGCCGAAAGCGGGCGAATCGGCCGCCCCTGAACTTGGATCCTCGAAGCTCGATCCTCAAAGTCCAGGGCCGTTGTCCGCCCCTTGGCCTGGATCCTCGGAGCTCAGTCCTCAAAATCCAGGGCTCGGCGCGCGTACGGTGCAAGACGTGCGTGCTGCTGGCGCGGCCCCCGTGTGGGGCCTGGCCTCTGAGGCACATGGCTGCGGAGGCGGGGATGCGCCGCTGCAATCCCGCCCTACTGAGTACGCACTCGGACGGGGCTAGCACGAGGATACCTCCACTCCAGAGCGTTCCAGAGCGCTCTCAGAGCGTCCCAGAAGGCCGTGAGAAGGCCGCGGCTCTCGGGAGGTCTCCTCCGGAGCTCCCCGCAGTTGCGGATAAGAGTGAGGGGGCGGCCGCGGGGTGGGTCGCGGGCGGGTCGCGGGCGGGTCGCGGGTGGGTTGCGGGTGAGTCGCGGGCGGGTCGCGGGTCGTTTGTGGGCCGCGGGCGTGCCGCGGGCGGGTCGCGGGCGGGTCGCGGGCCGGCCACGCACCCAGGGACAGTGAATGATCGTTCGGCCTTTTCTTCTGGTCATATTCGCAATGTCGTACCAGGTGAGGAAGTCGTCAGTCTTCTGGTCATATTCGCAATATTTCTTTGGGTTGGCCACAGTCTCAGAGAAAACGGAGTTGTGGCCAGCGCAAGGAGAACCCTTGGAGGGGGGAAGGTGCGGCTGCGTTTATAGCAGACCGAGCGCCCCCAAAGCCCATCCTTAATATATCTAAACTGGTTCTTCGCCTCAATGCGATTTCTATGGCCTCAATGCCAGCTACAACACGGGGGGGAGTGGGAGCCCGAGACCTCCCAGTCTGGCAGCCGTTTCGCATGAGATCTCTCAGCAAACCATGCAGGAATCGTGCTCTCGCCTCCATGCTGGCTACAATTTGCTTTTCCGACGGCAGCGGTCCCGCAGATCGTGCAGGCCGCACAGGTCCCGCAGGTCTCGCACGTCTCACAGGTCTCGCAGGTCCCACAGGTTGCACAGGTTCCACAGGTTCCCCAGGTCCCAGAGGTCCCAGAGGTTTCACGGGGCTCATAGGTACAGGTCCCACAGGCCCCACATGCCCCAGATGTCCAACGGTTGCACAGGTCTGACTGGTCTCAGGGGTCCCACAGGTCCCACAGGCCACACGGGCCCCACAGGTCTTGTGTTGCTATGAAGGTGTTTTGCTGGGGTAGTCAATTGCGGGTCGAGCTCGAAGTCAGGGAAGCGCGCACAAGTCCCACAGGCCCCCGGGGTCCCACAGGTCCCGCCGGTCGAACAGGCCGCAGGTCCGACACGTCGCACAGGTCCCACATGTCACACGGGTCCTTCATGTCCCGCAGGTCCCAAAGGACTCACAGGCCCCGCGGGTCCCACAGGTTCCACAGGCCGCACAGGTCCCTTCAGGCCCCACAGGTCCCGCGGGCCTCACATATCCCACCGGTCGCACAGGTCCAAGAGGTCCCACAGGTGCCACATGTCCCACAGGTTCCACAGGTTCCACAGGCCACAGGCAAAATATCACCCCCAGGTCCCGCAAGTGCCCACGTCCACAGATTCCACTTGCCCCCCCCACAGGTCCCGCAAGCCCCACAGGCCACACAGGCCCCACAGGCCCCACAGGTCCCGTAGGTTCCACAGGTCTCACAGGTCCCGCAGGTTCCACATGTCCCACGGGTCTCCCAGGACCTACAGGCCCTACATGTCCCACAGGTTCCCGAAGGTCGTACAGGCTGCACATGTCCCACAGTTCCCACAAGCCCTGCAGGCCCCGCAGGCCCCACCGGCTCCACAGGTCCAGCAGGTCAGGTCCCACACGTCCCACAGGTCCAGCAGGTTGAACAGGCCGCATCGGTGCCACAGGACCCACAAGTCTCACAGCTTCCACGGGTCCCACGGGTCCCACAGGTTCCATAGGCCCCACGGGCCGCACAGGTCTCACGGGTCCCACAGGTCCCACATGCCCCACATATCCCACGAGTCCCACAGGTCGCGCAGGTCCTATATGTCCCAGCGGTCCCACAGATCCCACAGGCCACGAGGGCCCCACAGGTCTTGCGTAGTAGGGTGTTTTACTGGGGTAATTGTGGGTCGAGCTCGACGTCAGGGAAGCGCGCGGTTCTCTCGGGCCTCCACCGCGCTTCCCCCCCTCCCAACGGCAGGTTCGCGTGCCGACGCCGGCGTTCGACGTTGAACGCCGCCGGCGACCCAGAATCGGTCGATCTTAAATGATCTGACGATTCGGGAACGGCCGATCGATCAAGGTTGAGCGCTCCCCGTGGTGTCAGAGACCAACGCCGGGGTCGACACGACGCGAATTTGCTCTTGCTCCTCCCGCTCGTTCCCCCCTTTGCTCCTTTCCTGCGCCGTGAAGGAAACGGGTCCTGGACGTCGGGGTTTTTCGCCAGGTCCGCTGCTTCCATCCCTACTGCCATTTTGACTCGAGCGCTTTCAGCCTCAGCCCGCTGGCGCCTCAGCCGCCGCCGCCCCGCCGGAAGCAGCCACGGGCGCCATGTTCCGCTCCGCGTGCCTCCTGGCCGCCGGGTCGCTCGTGCTCTACGGCGCGAGCGGCTTCGTGTCCCCGGCGCAGCCCACTGCCGTCTCGAGCGCGGCCCGCAGCCTGCCCGCATCGGCGCTGGCCGCCGCCGAGGAGGCCGCGCCGGCCTCCAGCGGCAGCGCCGCGTGGAGCCCGCTGGCCATCGGGGCGGCCCTCGGGCTGATGGTCGCAGTGATGGGCGGCCGGCCGGCGCTTGCGGCGGACCTCGAGAACGGCGAGAGCGTCTTCCTGGGCAACTGCGCGGCGTGCCACGCGGGCGGGAACAACAGCGTGGTGGCGGAGAAGACCCTGAGGAAGGCGGCCATCGAGCAGTACTTGACGGGCGGCTACAACGCGGCCGCCATCAAGACTCAGGTGACGAACGGCAAGGGCTCCATGCCGGCGTTTGGCGACAAGCTGGGCCCCGACGACATCGACGACGTGGCGGCCTATGTCCTCGACCAGTCCACCAAGTGGTGAGCGCCGAGAGCCCACGCCCGGGGCCAGGTGCAGCCGGTGGGCATCGTCCGCCGGATTGCTGACCCGAGTAGGGTGGGAGTGCACTGACGTCTTCGGGCTGGCGACCTCGGCTTTTTTGATTGTTTAGCAGGACATCTATTTTTTTCAGCGCGGAATTCTGTACGTATTACCCTCGCGCTCGCGTGTGCTAGGCTGGCGGGCTGATGTGCAGGCGGCCGTTGCCTGCGGCCAGCACCTCGTCTGCTGATGAACGGTCTTTATTCAGGACAGCTGGACAAAAAGACAGGGCCGCTGCTTCCATCCCGAGCCGCTTTCTGACGGTCCCGGAGCGCGTGGAGGTCCCCGGTCTTCCTGCTCCTCCTCGTCCTCCTCCTCGTCCTCGTCCTCCTGGTCCTCCTCGTGCTCGTCCCGAGGTCCCGAGGACTGGGAGAAAAAGGCCCGGATCCTTCCAGCCGATCCTCGGCCCCAGGCTCGACAAAAGTCGTACCCCAGACCCCTCTTGGGGTGCGCTCTCTGACTCTCGACGCGGATCCGGCCGTGGTGACGGGGAGCCCCCAGAGGCCGCGAGCGGACGGATCGGCCGCCCCTTGACCTGGATCCTCGGAGCTCGGTCCTCACAGTAACTGTTTTCCTGGGCCGTTGTCCTCCACAGTGACCTCTGTCCTGGGCTCGACGCGCGTACGGTGCAAGACGTGCGTGCTGCTGGCGCGGCCCCCGTGTGGGGCCTGGCCTCTGAGGCACATGGCTGCGGAGGCGGGGATGCGCCGCTGCAATCCCGCCCTACGCGCCTGCGCTAAACTGAGTGCACAATCGGATGGGGCCAGGACGAGGACAACTCCACTCCAGAGCGTTCCAGAGCGCTGTCATAGCGCTCGGGCACGCTGTGAGAGGGCCGCGGCTCTCGGGAGACCGCCTCCAGAGCCGCGGGATCTCAAACTCGCCCGACTTTGATCCTCGCCCTGGCCTCACTTTAAAAACAGCTGAGTGCGCAGCTATCTCTCAGGAGAGAAACAAGCACACAGACACAATCAATCGTCGACTCCCCAGAAGATATAGGAAAATATATGAAGTGGGGGGAAGACAAAAACCCAGAACATATGGGAAAATATGAGGAATCTGGTTATTTGTGTCTACTTATTTGTGTGTTCCAGTTCCCCTTCAATCTCGCCAGCAACGTCACTCGGAACGGCCTTCCTGTGATGCTCGACGGCCGGGGGATCGCCGTGGTGCCTCCGAGGCACGCCCTCGAGACGCTGGAGGGCGACATCCCGTGCGAGGGCAGGTTCCGCCGCCCGGACCGCGCGCCGCTCCCGAGGAGGAGGAGGAGGAGGAGGAGGAGGAGGAGGAGGAGGAGGAGGAGGAGGAGGAGGAGGGAGGAGGAGGAGGAGGAGGAGGAGGAGGAGGAGGAGGAGGAGGAGGAGGAGGAGGAGGAGGAGGAGGAGGAGGAGGAGGAGGAGGAGGAGGAGGAGGAGGAGGAAGGAGGAGGAGGAGGAGGAGGAGGAGGAGGAGGAGGAGGAGGAGGAGGAGGAGGAGGAGGAGGAGGAGGAGAGGAGGAGGAGGAGGAGGAGGAGGAGGAGGAGGAGGAGGAGGAGGAGGAGGAGGAGGAGGAGGAGGAGGAGGAGGTGCCAGGCCCATGGTCCAGTCGCCGCCGTCGGCGGCGCCGCCGCCCCCAGGCCTCAGGGGCGGCCTGACCGACCCGCAGCAAACCGTCCTCTTCCGTGACGTCCCCTTGCCTCGCCCCAAGATGGATGTATGTGGCCGCTCGGGAGCTTCAAAGGCGAAGGTGACGTCACGGAAGGGGACGGTTTGCCAGGGGGTGGCCCAGGCCGTGCCACGCCGCCTCGGGTCATGACATAATCGTGGCGGGAGGTTTCTTGTTCTCTTCGGCCTCCCAGGGATGAGAAACCAGTCCCGGGGAGTGGGTCGAGACCCCCGGGGGGGCCACCGTCATCTAACAATCAGGCTGTCGGAGGTCCCCTACTCCTGTTCCTGTTCCTCCTCCTCCTCCTCCTCCTCCTCCTCCTGTTCCTCCTCCTGTTCCTGTTCCTGCTCCTGCTGTGGTCCGTCGCCCTCGCCACTGCCCTCCCTCCCCTCCCTCCCTCCCCTCCCTGGAGGAGGCGCCGGCCAGAGCCCCGTCGTTGTCGGAGCAGCGGGCCCGAGGCCTCAGCCCAGCCTGCCTGCGCGGGCTGGCCGTTCCCGTTCCCACCGCATCCCCTCCTCCTCCACTTCCTCCTCCACCTCCTCCACCTCCTCCTCCTCCTCCTCCATCTCCTCCTCCTCCTCCTCCTCCTCCTCCTCCTCCTCCTCCTCCTCCTCCTCCGCATCCCCTCCCTCCTCTCCTCCCCGCCTCCCTCCCTGCCTCCTGTGCCTGCAGTGATGCTGCCGGGCCGGGGGCCGAGGTACAGGATCCGGGTCGGATCGGGGCGGGTGCCCCGAGTGTTCTTCGCGTGGAGGGTGTCTTCGACTGATCTTCACTTCCGCCTTCTCTGCGGCTAAGCCGCGTGAGAAGGTCCCCGGGCAAGGACAACTTCTTGCTCGAACAGCTCAAAACTTAGATACAATGGAATAATTCGAAGATAGGCGCATTGTTGCCGGTCTGACAAAAGGAGAAGGAGGAGGAGGGGCATCCGGGTGGAGGGTGTCTTCGAGTGATCTTCACTCTGGGCTGGCGGAGGGTCCCATGTTCTTGGGGGATTCTCTTCTGTCCTGGATCCGACCGTAGAGGTGTTGTCCATTTCCACGCCGATCTCTCAGCGCCAAGGCGCGTCGGCGCTCCGTTCCTAAAGGGGGGCTGGCGCCTTGGCGCGCGTGATGATGATGATGATGATGATGATGATGATGATGATGATGATGATGATGATGATGATGATGATGATGATGATGATGATGATGACGATGACGATGACGATGACGATGACGATGTTGCTGATGATGACGACGACGATGGCGATAACGATGACGGTGACGCTGATGATGGTGATGATGATGATGGTGATGATGATGATGCTGATGATGCTGATGATGTCGATGCTGGTGATGCTGGTGATGCTGATGGTGATGATGCTGGTGCTGATGCTGATGCTGATGCTGATGGTGTTGATGATGACGATGCTGATGCTGCCGATGGCGGTGTGAAGGTTGAGGTTGAGGATGCTGATGAAGATGGTGACGATGCCGATGACACATATGATGCTGTCATTGCTGATGATGCGTATGCTGATGATGATGCTGATGGTGAGGATGCCGATCATGATGATGATGATGGCTATACTGACGAGATGCTGCTGCTGCTTCTGATGATGATGGTGATGCTGATGGTGCTGATGAATATGAGTATCATGATGATGATGCTAATGCTGCCCATGATGATTCAGACGATTCTACTAATGATGCTGTCGTTGATGATGATGATGATGATGATGATGATGATGATGATGATGATGATGATGATGATGATGATGATGATGATGCTGATGCTGATGCTGATGATGATGATGAACATGATGATGCTGATGATGCTGCTGCTGATGATGACGGCCAACCTGATATCGATGATGAGCGGGACGATGATCATAATTGGTGTGGTGGTGGTGATGTCGGAGGTGGTGGTTGTGGTGATGTGACGGTGGTGGTGGTGCTGGTGGTGGTGGTGATGATGATGATGATGCTGTTGCTGATGATGATGGTGGTGATGGTGGTGTCGGTGAGGAGGAGGGAGGCGGGAGGAGGACGACGAGGATGGGGGGGGGATGGGGAGGAGGATGCGGCTTCCCTCTCTCCTCGTTATTCTTTCTCTCACTCCGATGCCTTTCCTCGCCTCTTCTCCTTATCGCGGGGGCACGGGAAGGGATAGGGGGCAAGTGGGGAGTTGCAGCACCGCTGGTGGCCAGGGTCATTCGCTGGGCCTCGGTCAGTGGCACAACTCACCTCTCGGGCAAGCCTGGTGGAGAAGGGGAGGAGGGATGATGGGAGCGAGGGGGGAGGGGGGAGACGGAGATGGAGATGGAGGGATGGGAGGGGGCTGGGGGGGCACGGAGGAAGGGAGGGATGGGTGCGATGGAGGAGGAGGAGGAGGAGGAGGGGGAGGAGGAGGATCACGACTGAGGGACGAGGGGCGAGGAGGATGAGGCGCAGCGGTGGAGCCCGATGAGGAGAAGAAAGAGAAGGAGGATACGATAGGAAGAGATTATGATGCAAAGGAGGAGCGACAAGGAGGCGGAGTAGGATCAGGCGGGAGGGGGGCGAGGAACCATGCAACGCGCGGGTGGGCGAGAAGGGGTGTGATGAACAGAAGTCGGAGGAGGAGGAACGAGGCTGAGCACGACATGTGATTTCCAAGGCGGATGAGGATGGTTGTGAGGATGTTGGTGCTGCTTCTGATGATGGTGAGGATGATCATCATGACCATGCTGCAGATGAGGATGAGGATTATGATCGGGACGGGGATCATGATTCTCATCATGTTGCTGCTGATTAGATAAAGTTGACGATGATGATGTTGAGTGTGATGATGATGAGGAGGAGGAGGAGGAGGATGCTGATGATGATGATGATGATGATGATGATGATGATGATGATGATGATGATGATGATGCGGTTGCGGATGCGGATGTGGATGTGGATCGTGATTAGGAAGAAGGGTGATTTGGATGAGGGTTAGGATGAGGATGAGGATGATCACGAGGAGGATTATGTTGATGATGGTAATGATGATGCTGCTGCTGAGGATGATGCTGATGATGGCGATGGCGATGGCGATGGTGATGGTGATGGTGATGATGAGGATGAGGATGATGATTAACATGAGGATGGTGATGATGATGAGGAGGATGAGGAGGATTATGATGATGCAGCTTATGATGATGCTGATGATGCTGATGAGGATGATGAGGAGGAGGGGGAGGAGGAGCAGGGGGATTACGGTATCGAGGATGATGGTGATGATGACGGCGATTACGATCATGCGGATGACGAAGATATTGATGGTGATGAATAAGATGACGATGCCGCCGCCGATGACAACCATGACGGCAACGATGGGGATATTGATGATGGTGGCGGTGGTGTTTGTGGCAGCAGTGATGGTGATGGTGTTGATAGGTGATGACGGTGATGATGAGGATGAAGGAGCGAGCGCGATCCACGGTTGCTCGCCTGAATTAAGTGTGTCAGTGAGGTCAGAAGGCAGGCTCCCCTTCTGCCCTCCCCAACAACAAATCCGAAGGGGCGGTCAGAAATTTGGGGACTCCCCTTCTGCAGCGACGACGACGCATACGTCGACGCTGGCGACGGCGAAGACGTCAGCGGCGGCGGCGGCGCACCTTTCGCCGGTGCCAGGCGCCAAGCGCCGTCTCTGAGAGAATGCTAATAAGGCTCGGTTCAACTCTCTCAGAACCCTGCTGGGGTTCGATCCGGCTCTACTAGCAGTGTGCTGTTAGGGCTGAACCCAGCTGAAGTTAACTGGGGTTCGATCAAGTGCAAGTGGAGTTCTTTACAGGCTTGGTTCAGCTTCGCAGTGTCCCCTGCTAGTAGTGCTTGGTGAAGCGGTATTGGATCCAGCTCTCATGGGACCCTACTAGAGCTCAATCTAGCTTTCATGCCATCTCTGCAGGTTTGGATGTAACTCTAATAGGATTCTACTAGGGCGCGATCCAGCTCTAGTGTAATCATATCATGTTTGACTCCAGCTCTTCAAGAATCGCATGAGGAGTCGATCCAGCGATAACTAATCGAGCCCTCCATGAAGCCGGATCCAGTTCTCGTAGAATTTCCATAGGACTGGATCCAGCTTTAATCGAATAATCGAATCCCTTTAGGATTCGATCAAGCTGTAGCAGGATACTGCTAGGCTCGATCCAGCTTCATCCTTTTAGGAGGTGATCAAGCGGTGTCAGAATCTTACTCGGACTCGATCTGGCTTTGATGGATATTAGAATATCACTAGGGCTGGATCCAGCTCTAATCGAATCCGATTAAGGATTGGTCCAGCTTGGACAGAGTTCCAGTGCTGTTAGGTCCAGCGTTTGTAGATTCATTTTTGGGTTGGATCCAGGTCTGATAAATATCGATAAGAGCTCAATCCAGCGTTTCTGTATGTTCGCTATTGAGTTGGATCCAGACCCACTAGAATCTTACCAGGGGACTGTCCATCTTGAACAGAACCATATTTCGTTTGGTTCCACCTCGAACGGAACATCATCAGGGTTTAATCCAGCTTTCGAGGAAACTGGGCCGATCCAGCCCTAATCGCATCCCACTGGTGATCGATGGGCGTCGGCGTCGGCGTCGGCGCCGTCATCTTCGGCATCTTCGTTGTAGTCGTCGTCGTTGTAGTCGTCGACGTCTTCGTCGTTGTCGACGTTGTCGTCGCCCGTTGTCGCCGTCGGCGTCGGCGTTGTCGTCGGGGTCATTGTGCGTTGCGCGTCATCGTCGTCGTTTTCGTTCTTGTCGTCGTCGTCCGCGTAGCTTGTTGCTGGAAGCCGCGGTTCCGACGTCGTCGTCGTCGTTGCCAGGGGGGAGGGGGGTCGTCGTCTTCGTCGCTGTCGTCCGCGTCGTTTGCTGGTGGCGGCGACGTCGTCGTCGTCGTTGCCATGGGGGAGGGGTGGGAGGGGGGGGGGATTGTGGACCCGTCGAGGGATTTCCCCGAAGGGTACTCATCCGAACTATTTTTTTCCCCAGGGGAGTGAGGGGGTCGGGAACAGCCACCCCTTTTTTTTTTGGGGGGGGGGGCTCACCCCCTTGCCAGCAGCGGCAGAGCACGTTTTTTTGGTGTTGTTTTTTTTCTTCCGGATGTAGGAACAGTGGTCAGAATGATGAAGGGATGCTATCGACGCATAGACGATTCCGATGAGGAGGTTTATGTTGCAGATGGTGATGTCGTTTACTTGTTCTTGGTACCGTGCGGGTGGCGGCGATGTCGGTGATTATGGTGATGGTGATGGTGATGCTGATGATGCTGATGCTGATGAGGATGAGGCTGCTGATGATGCTGATGATGCTGATGCTGATGATGATGGTCGCGATGTTGATGTTACTGATGCTGCTGATGATGGTACTGATGCTGATGCTGATGGTGCTGATGCTTATGCTGATGCCGATGCTGGTAATGCTGATGCTGCTGTTGCTGCTGATGATACTGCTGATGATGGTGATGGTGGTGATGATGATGGTGCTGGTGGTGATGATGCTGATGATGATGCTGGCACTGGTGATGATGCTCATGCCGATGATGGTGATGATGGTGATGGTTGTGATGATGATGCTCATGTTGCGGATGACGGTGATGATGTGATGGTGATGTTGTTGTTGATGATGATGATGCTGATGATGGTGATGCTGATGATGGTGAAGATGCTGATGCTGAGGATGATGGTGGTGGTGGTGATGGGGATGATGATGATGATGCTGGTGATAGTGATAGTGATGTTGGTGGTGGTGGTATCGATGATGATGCTACTGGTGAGTGTGCTGCTGCTGTTGATGGTGATTCGGATGATTATGATGATCATGATGACAATGATGATGGTAATGATGCTGGTGGTGATGATGATGATGATGCTGAGGATGATGCTGCTGATGATGATGATGATGATGCTGATGATGAGGTTGATGCTGTTGTTGTTGCTGAGGATAATGATGATGCTATTGATGATGATGATGATGATGATGATGGCGATGATGATGATGCTGCTGCTGATGATGATGATGATGACGGTGGTGGTGGTGGTGGTGGTGGTCGTTGTGGTTGTGGTTGTGGCGGTGGCCGCGGTGGTGGTGGTAATGGTGGTAAAGATGATGGTGATGGGGAGGGATGTGATTGTGATGGAGACGAGGAGGGAGATGGAATAACGATACTGAGCGAGGTTGTCGAGGGAGGAGGCGAGGAGGGGAAGCGGAGCGAGGGGCCAAGGAGGGAGGACGAGGATAGTGGCAAGTGGGAACGTGTGGTGGCGGATTGATGGTTGCAAGAGGTTCTCCCGTTCTTCCGATCGTTGTGCGGGGGGATCTTGCCCGTCCCTTTCACCCATGATGCGTGCAAGCCAGGAGAATTGTGTGGAGAGCTTCGAGTACGAGGGTAAGCAGAAAAGCGGCTGTGTGTCGGATGCATTCCTGTTCGAGGACATCAAAGCCCCATGGCGCCGCGCTCGGGAGAATTCGGACATGTGGTGGCAGAGCGCAATTGTGCAGCACAGCAATTGCAATTGTTCCACGCCTTCCCCTCTCAGGGACGTCTCCCAGAGGGTGGGTTGGAGGAGGAGGAGGAGGAGGAGGAGGAGGAGGAGGAGGAGGAGGAGGAGAGGAGGCTGAGGAAGAAGAGGAGGAGGCTGAGGAGGAGGAGGAAGAGGAAGAGGAGGAGGAGGAGGAAGAAGAGGAGGAGGAGTGGTGTGGGACGAAGAGCGGCGGGAGGAGGAAACTATGTAGGAGGAGTGGTAGTTGTTGTGGACAAGGGCTGCATTTGGGCATGCTGGAAGCCTGCGAGGCTGTCTCAAGAGTACATCGGACCGTCTTGGGGCCCTCTGACGTCCAATCGGGGCTCCCTCGGACCGTCTTTTGGGGCCTCCTGGGGCACTGCTGGGCCGTCTTCGAGACCCCTGGCCCCAAGGAAGAAGGCGGGCGGCACGCCCTGGGAGCCACACGGTGCACCGGTGGAACCACGCGGGGGTCTCTCAGAAAGCCGCCCCTGGGGCCTCCGGGGCCCCTGGAAGAACAGGTACGGAAAACGCCTGCGGCGAATCACCGCCGCCCCCTGCCTTTTGGACGCGTCAATGCGGCCGAGCGCTTGGCCGAAGCTTGGCCAAGGTATTGGACTGTGTTCCCCGAGCCGTTGCGGAATCATTTGGGAGAACATTGGAGAGATGCGGAAAAAGGAGGAGGGGAGGGAGGGGGAGGAGGAGGAGGAGCAGGAAGAGGAGGATGAGGAGGACGAGGAGGAGGAGGAGGAGGAGGAGGAGGAGGAGGAGGAGGACGATCAGGAGGAGGAGGACGAGGAGGCCTCTTGAGGCCCTCTGGTGGCCTCCTGGGGCCTCCTGGGAGTCTCTTGGGGGCTCCTGGGAGGCTCCAGGGGACTTCTTGGCCTTCGGAGGCAGTCTGGTGGTCCTTTCTGGGCAGTCGTGGGGCCCTTTTGGGGCGCTGCAGGGACCCTCGGGACTCGAGGACTCCCGGGGGCCCCGACCCCAGGGCTCCCGCAGGGGCTGCCGGCTCCGACTCGCCCAGTCCAGGGCAGGAGCGCCGGAAGCTCGCGGGTGGCCCACCGCTCTTTGCAAGGCTCGCCGGCGTTCGTCGTCGTCGTCGTCGTCGCCATCGTCGCCGCCGCCGCCGTCGTGGTCGTCGTCGTCGCTTTCGTCGTCGCTGTCGTCGTCGCGTTCGTCGTCGTCGTCGGTCGCGTCTCTGCGGTCGGTGGTCCGTTCCTGGTCGGCGTCGTGTCGCTGTCGTCCTCGCCGCAGTCGCGCGCGTTCGCCGCTCTCGTCGGCGGCCTGCCCTCCTCCTCGCCGACTGGCCCTCGTCGTGCCCAACCGTGGCCGCGCGCGAGGCCGGCCTGGCGTCCCAGAGTCCCTCCCCATTCCTCCGTGTCGTATTCTGGACGCTTCGCGGGCGGAGTTCCACCGGCACGCCCAGAAACGATGCCCAGACGAGTTGCCCTGAGCAGGGATGCGGAGGAGCATGCAGAGGAAGAGAGGACCGGGTAAGACGTCTTGTCCCAAGAGGGGGAAGGATGCAGGAGGAATCGGAGGAATCGGAGGAGGAGGAGGAGGAGGAGGAGGAGGAGGAGGAGGAGGATGGAGAGGGGGAAGGGGAGGAGGGTGGAGAGGGGGCAGGGGAGGAGGGAGAAGGAAGCAGGAGGAACAGGCGGATGAGGAAGAGAAGGAGGAGGAGGAGGAGGAGGAGGGCGAACAGAAAAGCCAGAAGCCTCTCGGATGCCTCTCGGAGTCTCTTCGGATTCCTTCCGAGAGCTTCGTGGAGTCTTCTTGGGGTGTCTTGGGGGGTGCTTCTGGGGATCCTTTTGGGGCCTCCTTTGAGTCTCTTGGGAGCCTCTTGGGGGTACTTTGAGAGCCTCTTGGGGGCTTCTTGGGGCCTCCTAGGCACCTCTTGGGGCTGTCTTGGGGCACCCTGAGGAGTCTCGGGGGCCATCTTGGGGCCATCTTGGAGGAGATCGATCAAAGGAGGAGCCGTAGTACATCAGGTTCCCCCCCGAGGAGGCCAACATGTGGCCAAAACTCCTTTGAACATGTATGATTTCAGCACTTTCGCCGAGGCCTCTTGGGGCGTCCTGGGTGGCTCTGAGGGGCATCTCGGGGCCTCTTGGGGGGCTCTTGGGAGCGCTTGGTGTCCTCTTGGGGGCCTCTTGGGACCTCCTGGGTACCTCTTCGGGCTGCCTTTGGCACCCTTCGGATCCTCGGGGCTTCCAGCCTCTTGGGGCCTCCTGGGCGCCTCTTGGGACTACCTTGGGCAACCTTCGGAGCCCCGGGGGCCATCTTGGGTCCATCTTGGAGGAGATCGATCAAAGGAGGAGGGCTCCTTCATTAGGGTCCCCACCCCAGGGGGACAACATGTAGCCAACACCGTAATCACATCAATGATGTCGGTATTCTCGCCGAGGCCTTTTCGGGCGTCTTGGAAGCCTATGGGGCCTCTCGGTGTCACTTGGGGGCCTCTGGGGAGTATCTTGGTGGCCTCTTGTGGGCCTCTGGGGGTCTCCTGGGCACCTCTTGGGGCTGTCTGGGGGCACCCTTCGGAGCCTCGCGGAACATCTTGGGGTCATCTTGGAGGAGGTCGATCAGAGGAGGGAAGCTCCCCAATGAGGTTCCCCTCACCAGGAGGTCAAACTGTGGCCACACTCCTTGCACAGTCAGTCCGTTTGGCTTCCTGGCCGAGGCCACACGAGGCCCTCTGACGCTGACACCTCGCGCCCCCACCCCGTCCATGCCCAGGGGGAGGGAGGTTGGGGGAGGGGTCAAGACACCCTCCCCGCCCGCAGACTGTCTCGCTCACTCCCGCCCGCCCTCCCAACACACAAGTAGCACCTGGGCCTCAGGCATGTTCAGCGGTCGCCTTGGATAGACGGCTGCAGCCACGACGCTGAAATAAGGAACAATTCGGGTTCGCAAGGGGCTCGATGTTCCTGAGGTTTCTCTAGTGCTGTTCCTCTTGCCCTCCTGGGGCACGGAGGCGCTTACAGGGCCAAGAAGGGGCTTGGTTCCTTATCTAGCGTTCCTTCTTTCAGCGGCCCGACCCTAATGGGAGCCAACACAGATCCCATGTGCGCAACGCTGGGGCGAGCTGCGCCATGCGTGCCAGGCGCGTCATGCGCGTCAGGTGCGCCAGGCATCCCTGTGGCCCAAGCGTGCCAGGCACGCCTGGGGCGACCGATGCGCCACGTGATCCACGTGCGCCATGTGTGCTCGCGCTCCAGCCGCACCACGTTCGGGGCAGCGGGGAGGCCATCATAGTGTCTGGTAGGCTTGCACACAGCAGGCAATATGCCTGCCCCCCCCCTGTCCCAGTCAACAAAAAACACAGAGGTCGTGGGGTGCCCGCGCATGGGCTAGATTTTGCCTCGACGTGCATTTTGTATCGTTTTTTTGACCACGATGGTTGCCCTGCGCACAGCAGGCAATATGCGGGCACCCCCGCCTCCATGTCAACACAATGAACCCAGCACGACCCCAATTAGGGGAAAGCTTCCTATCGCATGGGCGCAGTGCTTGGCATTGCCTGGCATTGCCGAGGAACCCGAGGAACCCGAGCATTGCCGACGAACCCGAGGAACCCGAGCAGTGCCGAGGAACCCGAGAACCCGAGGAAAGTCGGGGGAACGGGCAAAGTTGGGTCCCGAGGGGCCAATCTTTTATCCAAGGCCAAGAAAGAACCATTTTGGTAAGCCTTACTGGGGAGCAATACAAAGTGCTCGTGGCCCACCGATCATGACCCAAGATGCTGCCCCAAAATGAATTTTTGCATGGACGGTGGGGGGGCGTCGTCATTGGTCCTGGTTGGCTGCTGGTCGCCTGGGGGAGGTGGTGTTTATCAGAAGGGAGCAGTGATGAACCCCATCGGGGAAGAAGGTGGCTGGAAGAGGAGACTCTCTAGACCACTCACGCCCTGGCGGGCTGGTGGGATTCCTCCCTTTCTGTCCCCCCCTCTCTCCCTCTCTCTTCTCGCTCCCTTTCCTCTCCCTCGTCGTCTTTCTTCCCCCCTCTCTCTTCTCTCCCTTTTCTCTCCCTCTCTCTTCTCTCCCTTTCTGTCCCCCCCTCGTCGGCCACCTCCCTTTCTCTTTCCTCCGCTGCTCCTTCCAGCCGTGCGCCTGGTCCAGCGGCCGCCGCTCTTCGCAGGTGCTCGTGGAAGAAGAAGATGGACGGCGGGGCCGACTGGGACGGGCCGTGGAGCTTCTGCGTGAGGTCGGAGGGCGCCAACCACCGAGGCACAACACGTTGCTGCATAAACTCGGGGGCGGAAAAGAGGGGGGTGATGACTGGGGGGGGGTGGATATCATGGCGTGGGCCATGATCTTTCCCCAGATTTCATGGCGCCTCTTCTTATTCCATTACGTCCCTGGCCCCCCCGCTGGGCCGCGCACATGCCGCAGGTCATGATTTGCACCCCCCCCTCTTGGACACCCCCCTCTTGGCCACTCCCGATAAACGGTTACCTCTGGATGTCCGCGCGGATGGAGTGGATCTGTGCTGGAGCCCCTGGCCGGCGCGCGCCAGGGAGGGAGGGGTGGGCGCAGATCCAAGAGATCCGCGAGGACCTCCACAAGTTTATGTTTACACAGTCTTTCGCACTACTCCTGAACCACACAGCCACCGGCGTTCCTGGAAAGGTCGAGCTCGACCGTGCACACAGTAGGGCCAGGACCCGTCGGTGCAGGAGTGTTTCATGGCCTTTCTTTTCGAGGTGCACCGAGAAGAAGCCGGACAGGCCGGACGACGGAGGGGACGTTGATCCAGAGGGGCCAGGGCCAGACGTGGACGAAGACGACG